ACCTATTTTTTTCCAATTTTCCTTCTACAAACATATAACCTCTATTTTTGGACTCTATAATACTCACATTCTTATATTATTTTAAAGCAATTGTATTATAATTATACTTTTTAATAATAGATGCCGTGAAAAAAAATACTCCACCGCTCTACCCACCACATCTGTAATTATTGTGTTCCACAATGAAGCTTGGTCAGTGCTGCTACGCACTATAACCAGCGTCATTAACCGTACACCGAAAAAATTGCTCAAGGAAATTATACTCATCGATGATGCCAGTGACAGAAGTACGTATATAGCCATATAACCATAACGACCAATTGAAAAAATTATATTGATTTCAGCTTATCTGAAGAAGCCACTGGAGAACTATATTAAAGTTCTAGCGGTGCGTACGCGTTTGCTGCGTACTCCAACACGTGGTGGTTTGGTACCAGCACGTCTCTTAGGTGCTGAACATGCTAGAGGAGAAGTACTTACATTTTTGGATGCACACTGTGAATGTTCACGCGGTTGGTTGGAACCAATGTTGACACGCATTAAGGAATCACGCAGCAGTGTCGTATGTCCAGTTATTGACATTATATCCGATGATAATTTTAGTTATACGAAAACTTTTGAAAACCATTGGGGTGCATTTAATTGGCAAATGAGTTTTCGTTGGTTTGGCGCGGAAAGAAGAGGCGTGAAGCGTGAAGATCCCACCACAAATATAGCTACACCAGCTATGGCTGGCGGTTTATTTGCCATAGATAAGAAATACTTTTTCGATATTGGTGCTTATGATCGTGATATGAAGGTTAGTCTTATTGTGAGATTTATTGTAAAATCAATACATCAACAGTTAAATTATGCTTACAGATATGGGGTGGCGAAAATGTTGAGATGTCATTTCGCATTTGGCAATGTGGCGGTACGGTGGAGATAAGCCCCTGCTCACATGTAGGACATGTATTTCGCAGTAGCACGCCGTACACATTCCCTGGTGGCATGACTGAAGTCTTAACTAAAAATATCGCACGTGCAGCTATGGTATGGATGGATGATTGGCAATATTTTGTGTTTTTGTATACTTCCGGCCTCACGTTGTCCACACCCAATGAAATCGATGTTAGCGAACGTTTAGCATTACGTGAAAAACTGAACTGCAAACCATTTTCATGGTATTTGGAACATATTTGGCCCGAGCATTTCTTTCCAGCGCCAGATCGATTTTTCGGCAAAATAATATGGTTGGACGGTGAAACGGAGAGTGCACAGGCATATACCGCTAATATGAAAAATTTGCCTGGTAGACTAATTTCACGTGAATGGCCACGTATTTTCAACGAAATTCATAAAAATAGTGATCAGCTAGTGTCACTGCTGGATTTGGAAAGAGATAAATGTTTACGCGCTACAAAACGTGATGCACCACGCACTTCCATGCAGCCTGTAACTGTCGGTGATTGCACAGCACATCCAAGTTCAATGGATATGTTTGTTGTAACGCCCAAAGGGCAAATTATGACTAATGATAATGTATGTCTGACATACAGCGAACAAAAGCATGGCATTATAAAATTACTTAAAAGCCGCAATGCAACCACTTCCAATGTGCAGTTGACACAATGTTTCGATGAACCGAAGCAACATTGGATCTATGACATGGATGTAAGTGAAACATAAGCTGTAAAATTAAATAACTAATTCATTTTTAATCGTTTAATTTTTTTTAGACACAACAATTGACACACAGTCAAACTAAATTTTGTCTTACACTCAAGTCAGCCAAATCCGTGCGCTCACATACAACTGAAAAAATTGTGGTTGCCGTTGAGTGCAACATCAAAGACATCACACAGAAATGGGGATTCATACCTTTGCCATGGAGAATGTAAAACCTTTCAATCAAGTTCGAAGTGAGAAACTTGTCTATGATTGAAGAGTGTGGGTATTTCATATACTGAAGGAATTGTGCTCAAATCGAACTTATGATTGCGATTTAAAACCAATATATATGTATTTTAGTAACATTTCACAGCATAACTCCACAACTACACCATCGACATCTACTTGTGATATTTTCAGTTTGATTCCAAATCATATGCTTCTTATTTATAACTCATTTTCCTTTTAGACATTTTAACTATCTGTCATACTAAAAATCTATTTATTTACCCAAATTTTTTTTTCTTTTTTTGTAATTTTTATACTTTACTATTTATAATCTTTACTATTCAAACATTGTAAAATGATGATATTAGAGCTCCTGTAATTATATATATAAATGTATTTATTTATATATATGAATATGTATTTATATTTATGTATGTGTAATATATATAAATGTTTTTAACTATAACTTACTATTGTTATAAGAAATTAATGTCTATTATTAGTGCAATTATATAAATTTTATCAAATTTTAAACCATAATAAATGTTTAATTAATTAATTATTATTATGGTAGGTCAAAGGCTATAAATATGCGACGGAGATTAGGATTTCTTAATTTAACATAGTTATCTTAACTCGAGGTTATTGACACCTGCTTTGGTATCATCGAGAAAAAATCTTTCTTTAGTCGCAAATTTATTGTGTAAATAATCACATTTTCAAGTTGAATGTTGAATGAGAAAGAAAGCGTGCAAATTTGTTAATGAAAATATATTTCTAATATTATTTATTATTATTTAGTGATCAAAAGAAATTTGAGTTTTCGTGCAGAATGGGTGCTTGGCTATCAACTATAAAGTGTTTATCATTTATGTTCAATATTCTGTGTTTGGTATGCGAGATATCGGTTTTTTATAATTAATCGTATAAATGATTAAAATAAATTTTTTAATATGGAAAAATCAAAGTGTAAAACAAAGAAATTTTCCAAAAGTCATTTAAATTAAGCAATCATTTTTTTTTAAATTTAAAATTCAATTAATTAAAATAATATAAAATGAATTTTTGCTGTTGTAGTTATTTCCGTCTGAAAAATGTGACAGTAAATTACAACTTATATTCACAAAATATTGGACTCGCCCGTGCGACTCGTGGAGTAACATCAGTATGACTTTCTCAGTATTACGTGCCCAGATTAGCTTCTATACATAAGAAAGAATATATAAATCATGCAGTAAAGAACGACTCTACAAACAGAATAGTATTGAAATTTAACAATTAAAAATAAAAAATTAATTTAATAATAGATTAATTTAATTAAATAATTCAATTATTCTACAGCTAGTTTATTATTTCGGTCTAATATAAACACAGCAAGTGAATTTGTTAATAAAACTTTTACAGAAAATTAAAAAAACTCCAGAAAAATGTGTGAACATAAAAGCCAAGTACGGCTTAGAACCAGTTGGTTAAGAAGCGCTGACTCTAAACTTCAATTTTGGCAGAACACTAGTTCGATTCCTGGTACTTGCAGTCTCAAAACATTGTTTACGAATAATTAAATACACAAATTATTTCCAAGACCAGTACTGTTGGATATTTGGCAATACTCGAAACAGTTGTATAGTCCAACAAAAATTTAATTAAAATAATATAAAATTAATTATTGTTGTTATAATTCATTAATGTTCGAAAAATCTCTTCATAAAAATAATTTTGAATTCTGTATGAAATATATTAGCTAAGGCGTGCTCAATTTTGTTTTGGTCCCAAACAATCACAAGAATATTTGCGATAGTCATCATCTAATTCCTACATTTACTACTGAGCAATACTATTTTGCCCAACGTAATGAGCCTTTCTATGCCTTTGACCAAAATTTACTCTCTCTCTCTCTCATTCTCAAATCCACTACAATTTCTCATATACCGGTCTGTGTGCTTAACCCGACCCTAAGATTTAAACGCGATCAATTATGTAGTTTGTTTGAATCAGCTCTTTTCGCGATTATACTCTTGACTGTTTTGCGATAGTACAGAGCCATGATATTATTTTCAAGAATTTGATCAAATAAGCATCTCACTTACTATACCGGATATCATATTATTTTCAAATTGCAGATACTTGGATTAGGCATCATATCAGTCGGAATTACAGGTTTGGAATATGCAAGGCCAAGCACAGATGAACACAGCTACTTCATTGTGGCCATAATACTAGGTTCTCTTTTAGGGATGGTCACATTCTTTGGTTGCTATGGCATAGTGTGCGAACAAATTGGAGTGAACTTAATTGTAAATATCTAAATGCTTTAAGAAAAAATATTATATTTAACAAAAGTTACTCTAATCAAATTTTCAGTATGCATTTTTTATGTCAATGCTGTTTATAATGCAAATCCTGCAAATGCGTGCATATCGACCTATTGCATTTTTTCAGAATTCACTCGAAAACTTACAGAACTCTTGGCAAATGGTGGAAAGTCAACCAAATTATATGGAAACTTTGGAAAGCAATGTGAATATCATATATAGTACTGCGATTATTTTTAATGATTATTTATAACTTATAGTATCACTGCTGTGCTTTATACAATTCCCATGATTACAAATATAAGGGCATGGCAACACCGAAAAGTTGCTATTATGATGCAAGCGCCAGGGAAAATACAGAACCCTACACGCGTGGATGTTTGGAAGCTTTGCAGGCTTTCTACAAATCTGCGGCACATCGGAATTATTTATTTAATGTGACTTTAATAATTGTTGAAGTAAGTAGAGATTATTATAAACACTCACATGATATGATCGTCTGATCTGTTGCGAGTTTTTATGTTGTATAAGATCCGCTTTACTTGTTACTAATTTATTTTACAGGGTATCGTCTTTGTTTACGCAATTGTTATGAGTATAATGATATACTTGAAAAACCGCACTGAAATTCGATTTATGGAACAGGAAATAGAAGCACTACCGGAACCAAGATTAAATCATGTCACTTCTCGTACTCATTTGCTATCGAATTAGGTGAATCTGATTTAAATAAAATTAAATTATTTATTTTTTTTATAAATGGAAATATTACGCTTTTTATTTTATATTTAATACTCAATTTTGTATAAATATGTAAAAAGTTAGCTGACTTTGAGTCAATATCTTTGTAACGACTTCATTTATCACTATATAAATTTATTATATTTTATATATATATATATTTTAATCTACTACATACGTATATGCAAAAACTAACAGATTATACTTTAATTATCACTTGATTATATATGTCGTTTTTGTAGATAATTTGTTCATGAGTTCACTTCAAGGAATCCTTTGATAAGAACTTCGGGAAGTTTTAATCGCCAAAAAGCAGGCAAACATCGATGCGATTAACTGTAAAAAAAACTTTTTGTTAGGACAAAAATTAAAAACTTATAAGTGTAAATGTGTAATATATTATTGTATTATATATTATATGCAAACTACCTGCAAATCTCTTGAAACAAAATAAATTGGATCACATGAAATAATGTACGAAAATGTATTATAATCAAAAAGAGATGAAAGTACACGACAAGAAAGGTTATGCTATGAGTTTGAATAATAACAAGTACATCATAGCGGAATTGTATATCAACAGGAACACATGGATTAGTTGTTTCAAATCTGCCGTTAGAGACCAACACCACGGTGCCCTCAATAAACATATAAAAATTAGGCGCCCAATTACATATTATGCCGCTAGTACCAACTGAAGTAATATATTTCAATATAACTTCTTAATTCTTAAGAAACGAGATCTATTTAAACCTCTACTATCAACACTCTCCGTACAGCCATCACGTCACTCCCTCTTCTAACCAACCCAGTGTCCAACACAATCAAAGTTGTGAACACCTAGATACCATAGTACCAAATTTCACTTTTAGTGGAATATCGTAAATAAAAACCCACTTCCTACCTGTTATACTCCAAAACAGTACAGACCTAATGAATTTTAGTCACCTTTTACGAGAGGAATGTCTTACTTTGGGAATATTCTAAGCCTTTTTCCAACAGGGACAACAATAATAAAATGTCTCTGTAGTTGAAATAAAATAAATGACCAAATTTGATCATAGAAATGTTGTGTTTTATTATGACAAAATTATGTCACAAATATTTTTCGCGAAAGTGCTAGCATTGCACGTTGTTGTAGCCCGCAGGGTTCTGCTTGTGTTGTTCTTTTTGGGAGTATTAAATTGCATTTTGTCGTTAACGGACATTAACGCGGTCGTTCTTGAAACCAATGAATACTAATTAAAATTGCACTGTGTGCACTTTTTACACGTTTTTTACTAAACTAGAGTTTAGAGATCATTGTTGTTTATTCTTATTAAATTATCTTTCCGTGGAAGAATAAAACGAAAAAAACGAAACAGGCACTTTGCTCAAGCTGCATTGCACTTTTACTCTGGTACTGAGCTTATTACTCTACATGGTGAATACAACCATTTTTTTAAGTTATAAATATCTTTTATGTTTACTTTAGTTTGAAACAATCTTCTACTTTATATATAAAAATATATTTTCATAAAATTTTTATAAAATATTTGCATACTTATGTTAACTTACCTCAATGCTACAAACAATACCGAAGGTAGACTTCAACTCACTTCCAACATGCAATGATTCTTCAGCTATTCTTTCCCAGCAACCCTTAATGAAGAGCTTTTGTGGATTAATAGAATAGTAATCTTCATAGCAACTTTGGGGAATAGTCATATTGTGATCTACATAGTCTTGAGGGCTATGCAAACCACAGCACTTGATCTAAGTAGTAAAACAAGTATAAGTATAAAATAATATGTTAGATATTTATATACACAATATATTTACGTGTTGCTCCAAAGCAGACATTGCACCTGGTTCCTTCAATTCTTTCATCCATAATTTCTGAACGTTATCAGATGAAATTTGAAAATCATATGAGGAATAGATATACATAACAGCAACTTCAGCTCCGATTAAAATGCCCAGAAAAATCGCATTCTTAATATAAAAAAGAATTAATTATTAAGTAATTTATTACGTAACAAATTGAATCCGACTAATTCTTAATACTCACGCTCAATAGGAAGCAAGGCATATTGCACATTGCACCAATGCATCCCATTAAGCTCACCAAGAACACAAGGCATCCAATGGTTATTGCAATTATATAGAACGTCGAATTGGCACTCTCTAAGTAAGTAATAGCGAATGTACCGAACGCCACGATAAATCCTCCACCGATCTATAGAAATTCAACAACATTTAATATGGAAAAGATGTTAAGTGACACGATGACACATAAGTGAATGACGATGAACCGACTCACCGCGCATAGTACGTTAAAAATAATAAGAAAACATCGTATAGTTGAGACTCCGCAGTCCATTATTTCTAGTAAAAGTGTCAATAATTCTTTACAAATATGTTGTTTCACAAATAATAAATAATTCACGTTTTATTTAATAATAAAAAATAATTCAATATCTAAAGATTTCGAACTTTGTTAAAATAAAGAAACAGAAACCACTTGAAGCTATTGCGTTGCAATTTGTCAACTATTAAATGGAATACACTTAAGCATTAAAGGCAAAAAAATTTATGCACAGATACTTTGTGGTGTGCAAGTATTTGTGAAGTATTGTGGATATGCACGTAGTTGTTTGCATTAACTTCGTTTTTCAAACAACTAAATATTTCAGGAACATATTAATTCACTTTTTTAAGTTTCTCTAATAAAGTTCTAAACAAATACTATTGTTGAGTACTTTGGCCTTTGCTATTCGTCATAAAATCTTAAAGATAAAAATACCAAATTTTGTTTAAAAGAGTATAAGCGCCCGGTGAATTACCTATTTACAACGATTTTCTGTTGACAGCAATTCCTCTCACATTAATTTTTGAATTATAAAAACGTAAACAAATAGCGCTCTTCGAGAACAATTGAGTAATTTTCTCTTGGCACCTGTCAAATTTTCTTTAACATATGTTTTCACCACGATAATAACATATGCGCTATTTTAACACAGAGTTGCATTTTTATTATTCATTTAACAATTTTTTTTAAAATATACTTAATGGAAAGTTTTTTAAAAAAATCTCCTAGCTATAACATAAATATGCAAGATACTTTTGGTAAAAAAATACTCTTCGACGATACTCTTTCTCATCTTTATCGACGATATTCAACGAAACTCTATTAATGGAAAACAAAGTCGCATTTATTTGAACTTTACTAAACAACTTGATGACTTGGCTTATATATGCACACCACATCTGCTTAATTTCAATGAAACACTTCGACATGCAAGCCAAACTTGATGATCTACGCATCGAGTTCAGTAAGATCACATACTCGCAGTTGCGTCAAATATGGAATTCAGCGAAATCTACCTTCTTCACAAAAATAAGACGATTAAAGTTAAACGTGATCTCATATTGCTCTATGGATTTGAGATCTAGCGTGTAAACGACTTTCTTACTGGAATAATTCAAAGTTTCGTCAACAGATGTCTTCGACGTATGTCATCAGTAACTCCAATTAATAATAATAAGAATAATAATATATCATCAAGGTGCATCTACATTGAAACAAATGCTGGCGAACGAACGAACTTTTACAGGTACCATTACCTGCGAGTTTTCATTTAAATCTCAATAAAAACGAAATTTCGTTTTCATAGCCAATTAAGTCACGGTGACTGATTTTGATAATCTAATTAATATATTAGAATCAAACTCATTTTTCCTATATTTGGCAGCCAGAAGAACGAATTTCGTAATTTATGAAAATAATCTATAATAAATTATCCAAATGATGGGCTGGCCATACACCTGTCATAAATATTACAATGTAGTGACGGTGACTATAATCATAACAATACCCCTTAGTGTGGTGAAAAACTCATGCGTTCAACTGGCTGTGAACAAAAAAACAGCTGCAGTTCAAAAAACTTTGGCGCGCATTCTCAATTCAAACTTTATTTCAAATTCTTTTAATTGTATAAAAAAAATTTTATTTTTTAAAATATAAAGAATATTTAAGTCTTAATTATAATAAACAATTTATATTCTTGTATTTTAAAAAAATACAAAATTTTAAGCTGTGATGAATAAATAGGAAATTCACTTACAAGTTTTAATGAAAAAACTATATAACAATTAAAAAAAATTAAAACTAAACAATTAAGGTAGCAAGTTATTTTTATTAAATAAAAATAAAAACTATGAAATTAAATTCATGAGACTGGAATACTCAAAAATTTTCTCAACAGTTATATAAACCAGTTTCTTACAGCTAAGTATTTATATTTAATCGGAATCAACGTCGGAGTCATCTATTACCATCACATGTTTGCTAGTTTTTGCAGATTTAAGCGCATCCAATAAACTTTGTTGTCTTTCAGATGAACGCTAAAATATTTAAGTTAAATTATTTATTTTAAAATATCTAAAATGGTTTTAAGTAGTCACCACTTACAGTACGGCCAACCGAGGCACTCGCTGGTTGCATGGTGTTTTTTGCGCGAGTTCTACCACCACGTGACCCACGTCCGCCACGACTACTTTCACGAGTTCTGGGTACAGCAGCAGACGTAAAACTATCGTTTACACCAACCGAGATATTTAATGGTGGCATACTGTTTTTACCGCGAGTTCCACCACCGCGTGCCACTCGTTTGCCTCTTCCTCGTCCTCTCGTGCTGGTAGTGCTATCGAAATCACTGTCAACTTTGTGTTGTTCACTGAATAAAAAGTCTTTATCCATATTATTCTTCGAAGATTTAGCTCCCCCCTTTGCTGTAGTTGCAGGTATATTAGCTTTCGCACTGCGACTATCCAACATTTTCAATACATCATCAAGTTCAACTTTATCCCTGAAATTGGATATTTCTTCCTGTATATTTTCTTCTGTGGGTAATTTATCCATTAAATGTGCAACCACATTTTCTTTATAATAACTAAATTATAATAAAAGTTAGATTAATATCATATTTAAGGATTTCAAAATTGTATTTACTTAATAATACTTTCCGCAGCGTTTACATCACGTCGTTCTACTAAGCGAAAACACATTTCCGAAAATATTTTGGAAGAGATCAAACGTAATGTTTTTGTATCTTTAACTTCCTCAAAGTAGCGATCCACTAAGTCTTCTACGCGGGTGCCAACATCAATATCCTGGATGGGTAATATTCTTAACATTTTTCTTTATTTTAAATTACCATACTTTTACCATCTCTTCAAATGCATTTTTCATTGCTTCCTTATCACATTGGCCAGCTTCGCCTTTCACTCTTTTCATCATTTTCTTGAATGTTATTATGTCTGCTGGATTTGCCACCTATAAAACAGCTTTAAAATATTTCTCATATTTTTATTACCATATGCTCACCTGTTCATTGAAATTTTGGCCAAGGCGGATAGCATTGAACATTTGCTCTTCCTCACTAAACTCTAGACGTAATCTTAACAACGGCAGTGTTGGTTGTTTAGGATGACCAGTCAACATCTCTTTTGCTCTTTCAATCATTTCTAAAACACGTTGTTCAGCAAAATTTTTTACCTTGTTAGACGCATCGCATTCATCCAGAAGAAGTTCTTCAGTTAACTTATTAAGATTGACCGATTCAAAAATGAACGGACGCACCGATTCCAATGCTATTGGTTTCATTTTAAAGTTTTTTTTATATACAGTTAATATGCCCACATGTTTTTTCTTTGCTTCACCCTCCGCTAATGACGTTGGAACAGATGAGCCTGGTTGACTTACGAAGAAATCTTTTTTTACATTATGCTCAGGTTGTAAGCGACAATCATGTTCATGGCCCCAAATAATTAAATCAAAAAAATCAGGAAGAATTTCTTCTGGCACAAAATTCTTTGGTCCACGGTCATAGCGATTTTGATGCAAAACAAATAAATTAAACCATTCACCCTCTTCATCACTAGGTTGATTTATATTTGTACTTAAACCTTGAAACAATCGAACCAAACGTGCATCGTGTATGTGACTTAGGCCATAAAGCGCAAGTCGAGTTTCTCCTTTTTTTAATAAAATCGGCGTAAGATCAATTTTGCTTAGGTCCGTCCAGCGACCAAAATAATTAACCAAACCCATTGTAGATAGTAAATCTAAGGAACTAAGACAACCAAAGCCACTTGGATCATCGTGATTACCATGAATTGAAAAAACTGGTATAGAAATATTTAAATTTGGATCCTCGTAATTCACAGTGTCATTAACAGCGTTATGGAAATTTGTGGTTTGATCGCTAAGGAACTCTAGTTCAACCGGTTTATCTCCAAAAGTGTATCTTCGCAATAATTTCATGCACCTGCAAAAATATTTTGATTTGTTAAATGTATAGAAAAATATAATTTACTTATTTTACTTGTGCAACGAATTTTGACTTGGTACTGCATCATGGAACAAATCACCGCCCAAGAGTATAAAATCTACATTCTCCTCAACAGCAATTTCTAACATTTCCTCAAAAGCATTAAAACTATCTTCACCTAAGGAAATTGAAAAAAATATTTTATTGTGAAATTTCGGTTTGCGTTGGAAATGTTTACCTCTAACTGGATCTTTTTCGGCATAACCTAAGTGGTTATCAGTAGATATCATAATGCGCAGAAGATCCTTAGCATCAATTTCATCACCGTTTTCCATTTTATTGACTTATTAAAATTGTTTAAATTTTTAATGTTGATGAAGAATTCACTAAAGCAACAACAGCTGCGTTTGCCGCGAAATGATTCAACTCAAGCAAACATTGACAGCTAGAGGGCATTGCTAAGGCTATACAGTGTTGTATTGAAATGTAAATACGTGCAAATCATGTATTTTCTAATAATCATGACATAATTTTATATATATTAATTAAAAATAATTGTAAGTGAAAATAAAATATAGATGTGCTTCACTTTTATAAAAAAAAAAACATATTCAAAAATATAAACTAATAATAGATATTCATACAATAACGTCCAAATATCGTGAAGTACGGTTAAGCCAGAAATGATTATCATAAATTATATACATGCAATGAATAATCTTGTCACAATTATAACTGCTAATACTTTATTTATTGAACGTAGACTTTCTATTACAAGACTTTTAAAATGTTTCCATTGTTCCATTTAGACAGTTTTGCTCATTAAGACCGCTAATGAGGATAATACCATACAATGAGCTCTTATTTAAATGAACTGATTATAAAAAAATCGACGGTTTGAAAACGAGAAATGTCGAATGCAAACTATAAAAATAAAATATTCACAAGGGAAATGAACAAAATTTTAAATATTTGCTTTATGTTTTATTAATAAAATATAATATGGCGTTTACATTGGCCGAAAATGGTTCATTTTGAATGAGTCATTTGAAAGTTGTAATTCGTTTGTTCCCATTTCAAACAGTTGATTTTTCAAGTTGCCTGCTGATTTGATTTTAGGCGTGTGCCAAAAAAATGTTGCATGAAGGTTAAATATGCCTTCAAATCTTACAATATAAACTGAAAATATATTTTTAACTTCGATTAATTACTTTTTGGAAAGTATTAGTTCTAAAAAGAGGTGCATCGTTTTCAAGAAAATGCAACCACCAAACATTTGTGTACCTTTTTTTGTAAATATGTCAAAAACAGCTTTTTCAAATTATCAAAATGCCATGAAGAGCTTTTATTTAGGGTATGTTCAATGTATTCCTTTGCATTTGGAACATATTTGGAACGCATGCGAACGTCGTTGGGACGCATTCATACAGAATGTGATGGAATGGCTCATTCGCATTTGAAATTGTATATGCTAGAATGAGCCATTCCCTCCTCATTTTCGATTTTTGACCAAAATGAGTGAAACTCAATCACGATAATGGCATCCAAATTAAATCTGCATTCATACAATATTTACATGAACAATTCTTGAAACGTCATCAATACAACTTTGTGCGGATTTTGTATGCAAAATGGCGTTTAGTCAATGACTCGATAGTTATTTACTATTATTAACATTAAAAAAAATTATAAAAAAACGAACATTATGAAAAGATATATAATAATTATTTGAAAACAGTTAAAAAAGTTTTTGTGTTAATAATTTATTTTTTAACGATAATATTTATAATATATATGTAGACATAATCTAACTCATATTATATATTATATTCACTATATGTAGAGATATAATTTTAATAAACATATATTACATGTGTCATTATATATTCCATATAATATAATTTTTTTTATTTTTATAAGTTTTCTTCACGCATTCTTTCATAAGAATTAACTTTATTAGCCAATATCGTGGCACATAGCAATGCGATTACCTGTAATGAAACCAAATATTATTATTTTTTTGAAATCTAGAGACTTGAGAAGTATTTTGATTTATAATATATAAAAATAAATAAGAAAGTTAAAAACTTAATTTAAATAAAAGAATTAAAATTAAAGTAAAAATATAGGTTAGGTTAGGTAAAAAATGAAAATCTTAAATCACTCTTTGAAGGGTTACAGTTCTTAATATTAACAATGTACAACGTTATACTTTTTACTACAGAATCTTAATACTATGTATCCAATTTCAATGTCTCAATAGCTTTATAAAAATAACCGTAGTATTCAAATCATTAGTTAAAAACACTTTATATAGATTATGTATAACTACTTGATGGCTTTTAAATAATAAATAAGGCCTGATTTCTCTATTGAATTTTCAGAAAATGTTCAGTAAAACATAAATCAATAAAAAACGATCTTTTGCTCATCTTTGAAACTAAAATCTGTTTTTCCCTCTTTTGAAAGAGAAATGATCTATTTGATGTCGATCTATTTGTTTTTTGATCTATTTGTTATGGAAACTATATAAACACATTAGCTCATTTTATCCTAGTATATTGTTAAATTAAATAATTTTGGTTGCAAATATAAAAATTTTCTCAAAATTTAACAAAATTCTTGAAAGGAAAATTTTTCACTACACCCAAACTTAAGTATTAAAGGCAAAGGTTTAGGACAAAAAAAACCAAAAGAAGAAGATCATATACAAGAAGATCAGCTAAAGAGAGAATATGGAGAGTGTTCATGTTGAGCACATCATTACCCGGTAGTCTTAACTTCGCTCTCGCAACTGTTCAACAATAATAGAGAAAATGCTCTGAGTTGTCCATATCCTTAAGATAGCATCACAAAGTCAAAACTGTAATGATTCCAGCGTGATTTTTCCTACTGAACTTCCGTATTGTAATGCCCACATTATCTACGCAAAAGCATAAACTAAACTCTTTAAAGTGCCTTTGTACATCCGCACGAATGACATGCTAAGAGACCTTAGAATAGATCAGGTCAAAAAAAACAGAACTACAGGGACGGAGCCTTGAAGCTATGTGCGAAAACCGACAGGCTGCACTACTTAGCACTATCTAAACTCAGAGTAATCACTAACCGCACGGGGCGGTACGCAGATCTTAGATCAGTCATTGAATAATCATGATGCTTATGAGGTATACACAAATTAGTCAGTGAGATGGGTGGGACTCTGCAGAAACCCCCAGCTATCAAAGAGAAAAAGTGCCTAGATGCCCTAACTCGGAAAAGGATCAACATTAGAATTAGTACAACGGTGATGAACCAATGGTACGCGTTCAACAAGTGTTACGCATAAAAATTATGTAGCACTTCAAGGTTTTAATATAACCGTCTTTTTTTTGGACTCTTTGTTCTAGTAGATTATTTTGTAAATCGAGAATAACTTTTTGTGGAATCTCTTCCATGTTCTTCCTAAATGGAACGCTAGCAAACAAACAAACAAATGGAATCTTTAATATTTGACATCCTTTCATAATTTAAAGCCTCTAACTTACCTCTACACCAGTTATAATCCAATAAATAGTTTTCAGTATATTTGCAATTTCTGTGGCAACTGCTGCTAACGCCTCCGAACAACCTTTAGTAAATAATGCTTTTGGATTTAAGCTATCGGATCCCTCATAACAACTACTGGGTATTGGCATACCATGTTCAATATAATCCTCCGAACTATGTAAGCCACAACACTTCAACTATAAAATAACAGATAAATAATTAAATTCAATGGGTTTATTATCAAACAAACTTTATTTAAACTTTACTTGTTGTTCCAGTTGAGACATCGCTCCCGGTTGTTCAATTTCTTTATCCCATAATTTTTCGACAACTTCGGTTGAAATTTTGACAAAATCAGGTACACGGAAAATTACTAAAATCGAAATTTCAATGCCAATCAAAATTCCCAAAATTACAGCGTACTTGTGAGAGGAAAAAATAATTAAAATAATGTTAAAATATTTAAAGTAAATATTTTGACAAAGCTAAGATGCTCACAATCCATAAGCAGCAATGCTTCTCTCGTAAGGCCCCAAAGAAACCCATTGAAGATATCAGAAACACAATACTTCCTAGCGTTATTCCAAAAATGCAGTACGTCAAATTGTTACTCTGCAGGGAATCTATAGCAATGATGCTAAATACTGCGATAATTACTCCAGCAATCTTTAAAAATTATTAGATTATTTATTGGCACCAGGTTTAATAAGTGAACATTTTCATCTTATGATGAAATTCAATAATGGATGTACTCACCACACAAAGTGAATTGAACGCGACCAGCAAATATTTCACAGTCGCTATTGAGAAATTCATTTTTTTTAATTATACAAATCTATATTATCAATAAAATGTATTTGATTTGCGTAAATTGATAACTCTGCACTATTAAGAAAATTATGTTTGATATATTAATTTTATTTGTCTGTGCGAAATTATATTCTTCCAATTTTCATCTACGATGTCTGAACTACGACTGATCTGCATTGATCTAAAACTATGCATATTTCAATTTTCATTTTTAGACTGAAAATTCCCCAAGATTCAGCCATGTGTTTTTAGATAATAAACTCATATGAATTAACCCTTAAATACATGAAAGGGTCAAAAAAGCTACACAGAAAATAGTACTGTTAACGTATGCGCTTATAGTATAAAAATTCAGCTTTGAAGTACAATAACTAGAAAATTTAAAAACTATTTAATCAGGAAATCTATTTGGAGTTATTTGTAAAAAAACTGGTAACAAAAATAGACTCGATATATGGATCCTTTGTAAACTAAATGACACAAATTCTCTACACAGTAGCAGCCTTGTGTACTCTTCTCTATTATGTTTAAGCGATGGCACTTCACTCGAGAAATTTGCAGATATATATGTCAGTTTTTATATAAAATCTATATAAAATATGCTTAAGATGTTCGATAAGTCGAAGTATAAACATTATTAGTACACATTAGTTATTATTACTCTTATACTTGTTTAATTAAACATATTAAATCCATAAGAAATAAATAAATTTTAGTTAATTTTTATTATTTAATTAATACAATACAATTTTATCATATCAAGTGATAGATCCAACGCTACCACAATTGTCAGAACTATCTTAGATTAACGGAGAATTATCTCATACCACAGGGTTAATATTTTTACGTATAAAAATCGTGCTTTAAGAGCAAATTAACTTAAATAGATTTTATTGAAACGCTACTTGCGCTTTATAATTTCAGCATATATACATTCATACATACACACACCAATATATATATAAATATATATATATATCAATAGATATAATTCACAAATTATAGTACATATAATTAAGTGTAGATTTAATAACAAAAAATAATAAATTTTTATTTATTAAAAAGTTACTGAATTGGAAATGTAAAAAAAAATTACTATAAAATAGTTGTCTTTGTCTTTATAGAGGCATATATTATATTATATTAAAAAATACTGAGTTATAAATGTCTTGAGAAACTTCTCCACCGTGTGAAGAGTATAAGATAGAAATTATGAAATAGTGGGAAATTTAATTAAGCTGTACTTGTGTACTTTTTCGTTTATCTTATGTTAAGTCCAATACCCTGTATTAGATCTACTGCTCATTTCAATAGGTTATCATCAAAAGTAGTATTCCTTACACACTAAAATTGTTATTCGAAACATCAAGAAAAATATCACAATAGAAAAAAAGGCTCATTTCGAAATAAGTTTTATATCTCACGTAAGCTATTACACATTATTTCGTTCTCACTTCTTTTGTACTCAAAGGAAGGATAATCCATTTCTTTAGGATAACTGTTACACTATACCTTTTGAATATGCCAATCAGACTTGTTACTGATCCTACGTTTAATGGTGCATAATGTAAAGCATCGAAAGGTAAAAGAGGTTTTGATTCTTACGATATCAAGAGCATTAGTCAGGACCTTTCCTTTAGCACTTACAGTTTTACCAAAGGTTTTAAGCCCTTTGGCAGAAGAGTAGATAAATAGGTATGAATATCTATTTTATGTTTTACCTAGAAACACCCTAATAAACTAATCTAAGAGTCTTATAATAATTAATAAGTTTAAATGGAAAATATGATTGTGGTATATATATATATATATATATATGTCTCTACTGATACTACGTTAAAGGTAAACAAAACATTATGAATAAGCACTGATCATCATTGCGCTAAATATGAAGAAATATTTTAATATATAATAGGTGGATGAGATCATCAAAGTCTAGTATTAACCTTAGCTGGAAATTCTAAGTAAAATAAACACGTTATCAGTGGAAAATATTTATTTTTGTATAAAATTCTAAATTTAATATTGTTAGTATAAAAATTCATTTTTAAAATAAATAAATTATCATATATATATATATATATATAACATATGTACCCGTATATATAAATGTTATAAATTAATAGCGATACCTCCTTGTTTTTGCTGTCAGTTTACAAATTAATATAATTGATAATAAAATGCCTAATACCTAAAATATGGAAATATATTACAATAATTTTGTTCAATATAAAATATATATAATATGACCTTACCTCAAAGCCTATGAGAGACCAATGAGCTAATCGCTCATAGCGATATATTGTTAAATAGGCTTTCTTTACGGCTGACATGCAGCCCTCGCCGAAGGGATATACTGCACGCATTCCATTCTGCACTCGGAAGCAACTTCTTGGTAGTTCCAAACCCAGACTTGTGTAATCGACATAACTCTTTTTACCGCAGCACTCATACTATATGAGAATAAGAAAATATTTATACATAAAATACATATTATATTAATAATTTATTACTAATTAGTTTGAAAAAAGTATTAATAAGTAATTAGCGTTTTGAGTATTGGTCTTCCAAAGAGCTTGTTCTTTCGTTAAGATTATAGACCACCAATGAAAGAAAGTCTATATTCTCATAGACATTCAAACAGCTGTCAAAGTTTAGCATTTTCTATCTCATCTAAAATAGTTTACTATGTTAATATAGATGAGTTAATTTAAAAGTTGAGAGTTCCAAAGTAACTTTCTGAACTACAAATATTGTTTGATGAAATGGAGAAACTCCATTGAACCATCTTCATCAATTGCTATTCATGTCTGTAATTGACAAAAACTGACTTCTGAATTAGCAACATTAGGCGTGTGGACGCGGCGATGTGATTACGACACGGGCGATAGAAACAAAGAGACGTAGGAAGAGACCAAGTTAAAAACTAATATTCCATTAAATCTATTTATTGCCAATCACAATTAAACTATAAAGCTTGTTCAATTCGTTTTTTTTCTACGGTACATAAAAGCTCCTAAATTGTGAGATACATCATATTATATTGAAATATATTAATAAATAGATTAATACAGTTGTTATAGAAGTTAACGATTTTAAAATAAATTCCACTCAAAATAGTTTTTAAGTTTTCAGTGCTTTTGTGTGAATATTTAAAATTTTCATCACTTTAAATTTATAAAAACAAAAATAATACTTTCAATAAAATACTATCTGAACCAATAAGATCATTCTTTTGTCTATTGGAGAGATATCCTTGTTATATGTAAACAACATATATATCATAATATTTTACCGTTGCTTGCATTTCGATCATAGCACCTGGCTTAACCAATTCTGCTATCCAAGTATATGTAACCAACATTTCTGTAGCGGTTAACTGCTTTCCTTCATCATAGCGCCATAATTTCCAAATATGTGAAGCTATAAGCCCCACTAATATAACAATGAACTACAATAGTAAATAAGAAATATATTTTTTAAAATTAACTAAATAGTTTATTAGCGCTATAAATTTTGCTTACCAAACAAAGAATCTTAATGGAGCCATTTACCGCACCGCAACAACCTATAAACGCTGAGATTACCAAAACGCTGGCAGCTGCTAGTTGAACTATTTTTTCGGTGTGCTCAGCTGAACCATCAGTGAACTTCTCCAATTCATAGACGCCAGCCACTATAGCTAAAATTCCGATAATCTAGAGGCATACAAATTAAAGAAGACAATTTGTATATTATATCGTTACTATAGCTTTGTACATTTATCTTGTTATTTTACTTAATTATACGCCAGCTATTCTAAAATGTGCTTTTTATAGCTTTTTTTACAATTAATTTATACTAATTGCCACATTAATTATAATGAGTTAATATATATATGAATGAGTTAAATTAAAAAACATTCTAAATCAGAAGTGGGCAATCCCTTTCCATTTGTTTTGCCAAAGTAGTGATATTTCTAAATATTGTACGCATTTCAGAGTATAAAAAATGCTTTAAAACTAATAAGTATTAATAATAAATATATTATTAATAATATTAAAATATTAATATTTACTACGTCGAACAGAAACAGTTTTAGTAACTAGGTACATTCTAGGTATATATAGAACCCATTCGGTATTGTAGATGGCGTTCTATGTCTCAAAAGAAAATAAAAGAAAATAAAGTGAAGATAAGAAAAACTAACCATCAAAGCAACTATGTTAAAAAAACAATAGAGAATAATTGGTTACATTAATTTGTTATGGAAGTCTTGTGCACTAAAGCGCACTTAAACACAAGTAGTGATCCCTCATTATATTACTGATGTGACACTGTTCCAACGACTTACTTCAAATACCACAAAGTCTGAATGTTCTGTAAAGTTTAGTTCAAATAATGGATTGAAGTGATTCAGGTTATATTACCATCCTCATCATTTATTTATTTGAAAACATGGAAACAGAATTGTAGGCCTTACTAATTTCAATCTATAACATAAACTTGGAAGGTTCTTTTAAACATAGTCATTGATTATTTTTCCAAATGAATATTCGATAATTCTTATATAGAAATTAAACACATACCCATTTTATTAAAATGACTATCTAGTTTTTCGGTTGTGTTACAACGGGTGCTGATATCACATAATCTGAATATTTTACTGCCCTAAAAAAGTGAGCAATTGCTTCGTCATGGAACGGGTAAAGAGGATAAAGTTGACCTCTTTACCAATGGAAACAGGAAAACCACATTGCATATTTACTGAGAAGCCCTCTGCACTACATTATTAGAATCCAATTCGCATTAGAATCCAATATAGTAGCCTGTTCGCAGGGGAAATAACAGCTAGGATATCCTACAATTATATGAAGACAAAGGCAATGGTAAAGACAGTGCATCCTAAGATCAAAGGGTGGTGCCTTACTCAGCTGAACTATCACAAAAATGAGCAGATATGAGAAGAAAGAGTAATTGCAGTTCAAAACAGAGTACGTTGTGAACTAAATATGGGAGCCATATGCATTTTTGAGGAGTAATGAAATAAAAAAACATAAATAATATAAAAAGTCATTAACCAAATATTTTTCTGTCATTTCTGTCATTTCTGTCATACATTATAAACACTTTGCAAATAATAAAATTTGTTCGTATTTATTATAATAATAAAAAAATATGTTTATTCTGTTTTTGTTTTTTAAGCAATTTTATGCCAGACATTGAATAAAAATTCCTATGCTCCTCTTCGCAGATAGACACAAAACAATTTTGAAATCTTCAAAATAGAGAAGAAGAATAAAAACACAGTTTTCAGTAAATATTTACTTTTCCCCACGTAAATTTAGCATGAAAATATTTTTCACAACAGACATAACGACAAATTGACAGACAAATAACAATAGAAACTTAAAAATAGATATTATTTAGAAGTGATTTTTTTAAAATATTTAAAATAATATTGAAATAAAATAATCCTAATTAAAATTGTGTCATTTTACTCAATGGATGAACAATTTCAAGTGACTACGTGAGTGTTTTTTCAGTCCAATTAAACGATCTTATAGATAAATTTTGAATTAAATGATTTTCTATTAAATCACATACATATCTACCCAGATGGAAAAAAAATCTGGAATTTCAAAAAAGGAATTTGAATGTTATATCAAAAATTGATCAATTTATCTTTAATGTGAAAACATTGCTATTTACAAATCTCATAAAATCTTGGAGAATACTATAATAGTTCAACTCTAACTGAAGCTAATTGACCTCTATGGATCGTGTCCGCAATAGAGAATATCCGAGTATATATTACCTCTGCATTTATCTCCTAGTTTCCATTTATCTATATAATCACGCATTGAGTTTCCGGTATTTAATAGTACGGAAATGCAATCTAACTTAGCAGGGGGGTTAGAATCTTATTTCAGTTATCGATTATTATGATTGATGGTGTTATAAAATTCTTGAGTGTTTCTTTTAGTGAACCAAAGCGAAAGCAAAGTAATAATATTTTCAAAATTAAATGAAGACTTTTGAACGGTACAGTTTTCGTGGCTCATTTTATGAGAACAATAGTTAATCCTCTGACAAACCATGAATTTAGTATCAATTGCTTTATTCAAAATTATTAGAGAGCTATAAAGAAGAAGTGGTACAACCAACCTCAATTGTATAGATTCTAATATAATTTTTGTTTGTACATTCCATATCTCATCATTTTGAAATTGAAGAAAATTCAAACAAGTTTGAAGTGATTGCGTTATTACTATAGTATAATATTTTACACCATGACCTGGAGATCTGTTGTGTCCATTGTCTCGATAAAATGTGATATTGAAGTTACTTTATCGTTCCTTTATGTGTTATAAAATGTCCATTTAGATTTTTCTCTTGTTCTTGTATCAGTATTGGGTAAGGTCCCACTACGTGTTTTGTGGTTTCATTGCTTTTTCCTACAAAACTTTCAGTCTCCATTATAATAAAGTGCCCGTTTTGTAAGGTGATTGTCCAACTTATAGTACCCTGTCAAAATTCATGTAATTTTTTACAACGTTTTAAATTGACAGTCTCTATAAGCGATTTTTATAGTAATAGCCCTGATAGATTGCCCCGGTATAACTTTCTCCGGAATAGTAGGAGAGTATCGCCGATGATAAGTAAATGATCTACTAATTGACAATAAAATATACAGATAATACACTGCAAAACACTAACAAAATAAAATTTATAAAATCCGTATTGTAGATAAAGGTAAAGATCTTAGGTTAAGTTAGATGAAGATTTTATTTTAAGTTAAGTTAGGTTACTATGGCAGCCAATCAATCCGATTGGCCTGCTTACTTAGACAGAAGATCTATTTTGTTCGTGGTACGTAAACTGGCAGTTAATTATAGAATCGTTTTGAGGCTCTAATAAAGCGAAGGGTGTTTTTCATTTTAACGCTGGATATTTCTGTGCTAGAGCTTACAATATAATTGCCTAACAAAAATCAACCTGTTTCTGACTAGAGCTGAACCAGCTGCAAAAGAGGTGTTCTACTAGGTGTGATCTTAATAGCTATACAAGAATACGAAGTGCCTTTTTACAAAGTAACAATATGTTTTATTACTAAGAATGGCCTAAATTTCAACTACTTTATATCATATACATTAATATAATATATATATTATATAGTAGTTAACTATAATAATTTAAGTTCCTGGTTTTATGTATCTAAGAAATTTGGTACAAAATTCACATTTTTGTTAAATTTTAAATTAAATTTTTATAATAATTTTTATACTCGTAGTATTCCATTTTAAATTTTTTATAAATTATTATTCACTTACCACACTAAAAGTATTGAAGAGTATTAAAGTCCATTGCAAACAGACTCTTGCCGAAGCCATTACTGTTTACAATTTTTTATTGAATTTTTTATTTAATTTTTTTATTAAATTTTTATTCCGTGTATTAAATGTTTTAATATATTTTTGTACTTTAAGTGATACACAATAATATATATTAATATTTACTGTACTATAAATATATTGGGATTCAATATGAAGTAAATTTCTTGATATATTTACACTTCTCAGGCGTTAGCATTTACTCACTGCCAATTTTCTACTAAATTTTTCACTTTCCTCAAATATAAATTTTCCTATATCGCTGAGAATAAAATTATCTTCTGCGGTTTTTTTACTCTTCAGTTTATATATTTTTCGCACCATTTTTTATATATTCAATTTTTCAGTATTTTATTAATATTATTTTTTTTAAACAATTCGAAAATGGGCGGCTGTTAAGCTTTGTGGCTTTTTATCATTTTCTGTTACTGCTGAGCTTTTCTGTGTACTTAATGTGTAGTCTGTTCAATTGTGTAATTTCAAATAGTACTAGTGTGTACAAATTGTTATCTGGAGAACAACATTTAAGATTGTGTATACATTATAAGAGGCGCTTAAAACTTATGGTATAAAGTTGGAGATATACTATATAATTTCTTAACAAAAATATGTGTTAGTTCGTATAAAAATAGAGAGAAAGTCTTCACTTCGAGTTTTCAAAAAAATGATTATATCAAAACAAAGTTTTCGTTGGATGGTTTTTTACAACTTTCGACGTGTATTAACATATCAACGTAGTGATGAAACACCATGAAGGACCAGTGTTTATAATTGGCATAATGTATATAAGCATGGTCACAATTTTATCGTCGATGAACATAAAGATAGTCGTCCAACATCGGTTTATATGTCAGAAAACATCGACGTTGTGCTCGAGATGAGAATGGAAGACTGTTAAGAGAAATATATTTAATAATAATAGAAAATGATATAGAATTCATTGATACTTATAAGAATTTATTTATGAAAATACAATTAAAACTTTACTTTTCTGGCGTTTCCATCGGTCAACTCTCTTATTAATATATATAAACTTGTCTATCTAGGTATATTGATATATAGTCAATCACAGTAATGTTTTTATAAGAAAGGTTACTGACTACATACAAAACGCCATGTTATGAAGTTCATTTAGTCAGCGAGTTCGTTTCCACTGACGTAACCATGATCTGTACTGCCATTTATTTGAGAAGACTTTTCAAAGTTCCATGGTACATTAGGACGAATGACATCAAGATTGATCGCATCAAAAAATACATAAAGAATAGAGCCCTGAAATTATTTACGAAAACTGACAGACTTACCAACACCGCGTTATCAAATCTCAAAATGGTTACAGGCTCCTCAGGGAGGTATGCAGGTCTGAGGTCAATTATTGTTTAGTTTGATGATGTGATAAACAATAATCTAGTCAAGGTGTAAAGATGGGTTTTGAAAATACCTCGAAAAAGAGTATAAGTGCTTAAGTGCACTAGCTCAAAACAGCTTCAACATAATATATAAATATTCGACTTACCGAATGGTTAATCGTTCTTTTTTAAATTTATTTCTTTTTTTTTTTTATTCAAAGCATATTATATAATATACTTTGTATTCAAAGCATATTTTCAAGAAGGAACATCGATGTTATCGAGTTATAATACTGCCGTTTAAAGCGAAAGACATCTGTAACTTGGCTTTAATTGTAATATAATATAAATAACAATAATAAATAAAAAATATATGCATATTAAATGCAAAACTAAATAAAATCAAAAAACTTTTTTATACATTCATTAATTAAATAGTCACAAGTCTTTCTATTCAAAAATTAATTTATTAATTTATAAGATCATAAATAAGCCAATATGACTATATGATTGTCAATAATAGACACTAAACAGAACCAACATAAAAGTTGAGTATTAACAGAATTTTAAATAGAATATTACGCACCATTAGTAACTGCTATCAATAGATCAGTGATGACTAATTCTATAAAGATTTAAGAATCTTACCTGTTGATGATGTAATGGATCAGCATGCTACAAATTAAAGACATAAATTACTTCATCAAAGTCACATAGTTCTGATTCAATTTACCTACATCATTTACCATTTACTTTATATAAATATAATAAGATAATATTTGTATAACTTAATTAATTGTAAAAAATAAAGCATTTAATGCATAGTAATTTTTTTTTATATTTTACTAATAAAGAGTTAAGAGAACAAATATTTTAATTAGGATGGAATGTACATGAATAATTAGGAGAAGTATAAAGAGAGATAAACTATCTCCAAACAATAATACAATTCCGAATAACCACATTAAGAGTGGTTCGTGACCCAACGTCTCAACTAATCCATGATTATGACATTTTCAGCTTCTTTATAAGTTTTCTATTTTGGTTGAATTTTATCTTCCATAGAGAACCTTAATGCAACCTTAGCCATTGCGATTTTATCTAAATTACCTGATATTTTTTGCTACTACATACCATATTAATGGTAGGTAAAGTAGTGTTTATAAGAACGCTTTTAAGACTAAAAAAAATCGCATAAATGTTATTAGAAAGCAGTTACATACAACAGATTTAACACTTTTATACTTAAAAATATCAGTTTTTGTTGAGTTTATTATTTACTTATTTACTTATGTATTCACTACCACTACCAGTTAGTCTTAAATTGGAACCGAAAATACAAATACTAATATTTTGTAGTCATTTACATCCTGACTCCGTGACTATATTTCACAACAACTTTACGTTAACCCACAGTACTAATAAAATAGTTTATTTCTAAATTTTTGAGTGGAGTAGTCAGATTAGTATGGTAAATATTAGTCATGTTTTAACATAATATTTTTAATTTTGATGTAAAAACTACTATTATTATTTAATCTAAAATAAATAAAAATAAAAGACATTTCAAATCACTTGCATCACAATATATAGTATATAAATACATATAGTTCCTATACATAGTACGATATCATTTAATTATCATTTAATTATTGTTTTTAATTTTGAAAAAAATCAATTCCCAAACTTTACAGTTTAATGTGGGACAACGCTGCGTATGAGTGATATTTGATTTATTTTCAATGGATTTGAATCTTCCTTTCAAAAGTATGGTCCAATATCAATACATATTAATATTAAAATAAATACTTGTTATTTTATAATATATATTCAATTTATGTATATGTATATTTAGAAAAAAATTTTAAGAAATATATTCACGTGTATATAAGCAAAAAGGGTCCAAATCAATGATAAAACAATTATTTTTGATGTTATTCAATATGATATGTATTTAATAAAATACTTTAGTTTATTAATATTATTAATACAATTACTTGTTTTACTTATTTAAATACTTAGTCACATTTTTTACATGAAATACCAATAGTTTTAACGGAGCTCTATGATTCTAGTAGTAATAAATATAGTAACATACATACACAGTGATTTACTTAAAGCTCGTGCAAATCACAATTAAATTAATTTTAAAACTTATTAAATATTTAAATTTATAGTATGTTATTAAGTATTATTTTGATAAAATTCCCAAACAAGATGGCTTGTACTTTGCTGCTGTCCATCATTCTTAAATTAAAATTGCATTCGCCTTTGTTTGTTACGGAAATTAATAACTAAAAATACTGCTAATAAAAATCCTAAAATCTGAAAAATAAATTCATTTATTTAATTATTTTATTATAATTAAATTTAATTTCAATTAGTTACTTCAAATGCAATTAGTATCCAGGATACAACGAGAAATCGAATATCGTTGTGTTGATAATAGGATTGTAGTTTGACACTGCACCCGACGGTGTACATATAATTCTCATCTGCTGTGTTTCCATTGACATAGCAGCTAGCTGGAACTGATTTATTTAGGAGTATGTAATCTTGTGGACTATCCTTGCCACAGCACTGATGGTCCGTTTGCAATGCATCCATTTCATTACGGTTCCATGCTTGATCAACTATTCCATCGCGTCGTTTATATTCAACCATATCGGAATAAGTGGATATAATTTGCAATATAGCCAATATAAGTAGGAAAACAGCGCACTTTGTTTATATTTAAATATTAAATTATTATCATTAATTATTTAATAATCATATATTATTCAATTATTATTTATTTACTTATTTAAAAAAAATGATTTTTTGATAATATTTTTGAATTAACTTACCAAAGCTGTAAGGCAAACTGATTCTTTGATTGCTGCAAAGCATCCCAGGAACGAAAAGAGAACAATTAGCGAGCAAACGACGTAAGCCCCTATAGCCATTTCTCGACTCAGATTATCAGGATTATTAGCAATCCACCCAATGGCACCGAGTCCAAGCAACTATATCATAAATAAAATCATATAAGTTTTTTGTATAAAACCTTTAGAGAGAATTATATTAAATAAAAAATATAGCAAAGATCAAAAAATATAGATCTTTTAAAATTAAAATATATGGTATTCTGAGTTAAAAATATTTTATAAATTTTTAAGAACAAGGCAGTATGTTTAAAGCTTTATTTATGATCAAACAGATTCGCATCGCAAGCTTTGACGGTAATAGCTGAAATTCGTAAGCGTCTAAGCGAACTGAATCCACTGCGAAATATGAATGCATGCTATAAGACTGGTTCTACCCTATAATGATTTTTTTCGAGGTTGTGGCTCTGAGGATGAAGAGGAGATCATGCTGCATCTTATGTGTCAGTGTTCTTCTTTAGCTAGGAGAAGATTAAAAATTTTCGGATCACCTTTTCCCACCGATCTGACTGAGCTGTCACCCTTTAATGTTGGAGACCTGGCCAAGTTTATAGAACTGTCAGGTTGGTTTGGGGCAGTCGTTACCTTTTTCAGTGTTGACTGTGTACTGTATTGTGGTACCACAATGAACCATCATTTGAGCTCAAGTGTGGTTTTTGGAAACAATACTACCACTCAAACCTACCTACCTACCTAGTTGCAAAGGAGATATTACACCAATTCTCTTTAGCAATTCTCTTTAGTGATCATAAGTCAATTAAGATGCAGGGGCACATGAAATGAGTGTAGTGAGAGCTGTACTCATAGAGTATTCAAATCAATTGATACGTATTTGTTTATTTGTAAGATTGTTTACAGAAAGGACTTAAGCGTATATTCGCACTATATTCATTTCATTAATACAAAAAAAAAAGGCAATTAATGAATATAAATTTAATTTTCCTTAACAAACTAATATTTTTTTCAACCATTCTTTGCGTGTCACACAAATTTTAGCAAACAAATTAAATAGAAAGTGCAAAATGTGATTTCTTAATGAGTTAATGAGATAGCAAGCCAAGTCCGTATGTTTTGTTATATTCCATATTATAATAAAAACTTACAAATATTAAAATAAAAATATTTTTTTACTTCTTCAAATAAGAAATTTATATAAAGGACTTGGTTGTAAATTGAACTTATTAAGGACATACGACATATGCATATTTCCGACACCCTCGCTAGAAGCGCGTTCTACGCATTGGAAAATATCTGAAAATATCCTGTGGTGATGAGTCATTCTATTTAGAAAAGAAATTTTAATGAAGTAGAAAGCAGACCATATTTGAAATGTATGTTTGCGTTTATGTTATGAGGCCTAAAATAGGTCAAAGTTAAAGTCACGACAAGTACACATAAAATGTACTGCGCACTAAAAGTACACAGGACTATACGAGTAATATGTTCTGACCTGTCAATGGACAGGACTCAATACTGTAATTATGTGAATACATAAACCTGTGGAAAGTAAAATACTTTTAGAATTACTTAAAATATAGTTATTCTACGATTTTATGTATATATAAAATACATAAAAAAGTATACAATAATATAAACATTTTTTTTTAAATTTGTTTGTTTTTTTTGTTTTTGATGAGAAATGATTTCACTATTTTCGAATATTAAATAAAAAAATAAACAAAAATTTTACGAACTATTAAAATTTCGAAAAAATCATACAAAATTGTCAAAAGCAATAATAGACAAAAACATTCACTTAAATATATAACACACTATGCATATATAGATACATAAATATATATATGTATATATTATTATACAGAAAAAAATATTAGAATAAATTAAACCTGTAAATTCTTTGTAGCCAGAAATTCATGTTTCATAAATTCTGAAATAATTTTAAATTTAGTTCAATGTGCTCAATATGTATGACATCATGCTCAATGACATGTATAGACACTATTATTCTAATTAGCAATTATATATAAGAAAATAAAATAAAAATGTATAAAAATCATTAACAGTTCAACAATATATCACAATTTGAATGATGTAATTTTATTTCAAGTATTTACATAAATATCATTTTGTTGCATTATATATAGTAAATTAATTTTGAGATCATATCACATGTCGCAGTAATCTCTCATGATATATGGACAAGCATTAATCAAACTTACCGCCAAAATGACGTTGAATGCAACCGAGGATAGTTTTACGGTGGTGGTAGCGCAACCCATGACGACGCTCTATAGGACTGTGTAGACTCGAATTGTTCAAAAAGCTAAGGGGAAGTGTTATATATAATTAATAACAATTTTAAAACGAAACATGCAGAATGTAAAGTATATATTGATGTACATATTAATACAAATATATGATATTTAATTTGTCACTAATTTAGTTTTAATTAATTTTAATTCTAAGCTTGAATATTAACTTTTATTTTTAATTATAATTAATATTCTTTTGTTTCCCATTGTTCAAAAGCAACAATTATTAATATGTATATCAGTTTTTTAATATTAATATTTTCGTATATTTGCACTAAGAGAAAATTTTTTATATTATAATTATAAAAAAATTTTTTATATTATATTTTATTATTTTATATTTATTATATACTATAATTATATTATAATTATAGTATTATAGTAATTATTATAGTATTATATTATAAATATAGTATTATAGTATTCTAATTCCTTTCCGATTTAATTCCTTGGCCGATATTTTACTACTGTTATTTTACTTCAACTTAGTTCATTTCATTTTATCTAATTTTATTCTATATGAGTTATATAAATTTGATATATATTAGCTTATTTTTTAATTTTTTAATGTATATTTCTTCATTTAAAACTTAATTTAATAGCATTATTTTCATTTTAATTTAACTTTATGTTTTTATTTATATTATATTATTTTAGTTTTACTCTAAATTTGCGTTTGAGTTTGTATTTTCTTTTATTTTCTTTTAATATATATTACTTTATTTGCGATTGTATTTAAGCTCAATTTATTTTCTTTAAAATAATACAAATATATTTTAACCTACATTATTTATTTTATTCCATCTTATTACATTTTATTTGATTTTATTTATAGATTGTTTTACTCTGAATTTGTTTTATTTTAAATTTCTTTATATCAGTTGTTGGTTTAGTTTTTAACTCAATTTAATATATTTAAATTATTAATTTTTTTAGAGAGACTTCGAAAAGCAGTCAAACACAATAATAACAATACTTTCTATATTATTTTAATTAATTAAATTTTTGGCTAACCATACATTTTTTTATTGTATTTTAATTAATATTAAAATACTAATTAATATTAATATTAAATGAAGTTACAATCTTATTTAATTTTGTTTAATTTTATTTTATATGTTTTTTAATTATTTTATTTATTTTACCTTATTTTATTTTTTTTCTAAAAATTCACATTATTCACGATTTCAATATTTTTTATATTACTTTATCACTTTATATTTAAAGTGAAGTAATTAAAATTAAAATTTAAAATTTGAAAAATTATTAATTTATATGAGAATTCATTTAATTTTAATTTTTATTTTACTATTTTATAAATTCTTAATTTATTTTATTTATTGTATTTTATCTTATTTGATTTTATTTATATTATGTTTTATTCTGATTTTGCTTTCTGTTATATTACTTTATATTATGAATTTTCATTTCATTTTATTTAAATTATTCAATATTGATTTTATTTTATCGTTTCATATTCTTAAATTTTATATTAAATCATGTTCATTTTTTTTTTTTGTTAATTATATTTGTTCAATTTTTCATATTGTTTTAAATTACTTTATGTATTTTATTTTATTTATTTATTATATTTTGTGTTTATGGCTGTGTTCGATGGTTTTTGGTTAATAGGTTTTAAAACTAGGTTTTTATTCCAGCGCTTAATTTTTCTTCTTTCTTTCTTGATTTTCTTCGTCTCTTTTTCACTTATTTCTCTTTCTTAAATGTCACAAATCACAGTTAATAATTTATTAACTTTGGTAACTTTGGTTTATTTTTTATTTTATTAATGGTTATTACGTCATTGATGTTAACTTAAAATGACATAATTACTAATCTTTAAACTTTTCTTCAATTTAAATAATTAAAAATAAATCTAGTAATTCGTTTCTATTTTAAACAATATAATAATTAAAAATTAAGTACAATATATTAGTTCAAATAAATTTTTTAAATAATTATTTTTAATTTACTATAAAAATATAAATTAAATAATTTATTGTTTACTCAGAACACTGACAAAAAGTCCTTCAGAAATTAAAATGTCAACACATAAAATTTGTATGTTTTAAAAAGCATTATAAATATTTTTGTAAACACATTTTTTTATATACTCATTTTTTTTATTTATTTTCTTACACTTTTCACAAAAAAACGAAAATAAGATTTTACAAAATAAATCTTTTAAGTTACACGTTCACCCACAAACTAAACACAAAAGGTTATTTTTTTCTACTCTCCAAGTATCAATTTAGCACACAAACTGTTCAACAGCAAAAAAGACATTCAAAATTTTCGTTTTTTTCTTTGAAACTCAAGCAACGATGACGTCACGTTATCACATACAAACAAGTTTCAAAATTCACTCATATAACCTGCGTGCCAATAGCCAGCCAAGCAAACTACGAATGCTTCTTATTACTACAGATTGTGTACGCGCTCTTTTTTTGTTAATGCTATTGTTGTTGTTGATGTTTTTGTTGCTGTTCTTGTTGCCTAATTAATGTATTTTCATTTTATATATTTTACGTTTGTCACTGTTTGGAGTAGCTTGCCATACGTTACATTTCAGTTGATTTTGTTTTTATTTGTGTTTTGTGTTTACGTTGTTATGACATTGTTGCTTATATACATTGTTGCTGTATACAAACAAACGCAATAGCGGTATAATAACAAATACGAATTGAGTTCAATTAATTGAGTTTGCCGGCCGGAAAAAAGCTTTTCGAGCACTTTTCTGTGCATTTGGATTTGTTTACAAACATTTCATCGCATTCTTTATTGTGCATACTAAACAGAATAATGCTTTCGCTATGCACAAACAAATTTATATGTATGTATATGAAATCAGTTTGCATTTTGAGTTTATTTAATATTGAGTGGCAAGTGTTTACGTTATACGAGTGTTTTTATATAAAAGAGCGTAAGAGTTGTTATTATTATTTTAGGCACATTTGTTTTTAAATTATGCAAATTAATTGAATTATTTTTCAATTTGTCATGTTAAGTGCATTTAATGCAATTAAGAATATTAATTAAAATTTTTTGCTTTACAATGTGGAAAGTTGCATTTTATCACATCAACTTTATAATGTTTTGATTTCGTTTTGAGTCCACATTTATATTAAAACCATTAAATTGTTTAATAAATCAATTAATTTTATTAGTTTGTACTATTTAATAGAATCTTAAACTTTATTACTTAATTCAAAACTAAAATAAATATTGGGTTTTATAAAAGAACTATACTGTAGATATGCTTAGAAGTAAGGATTATAAAAGAATATAATAACCAATTATACTAATAATTTTAAAACAAATTTTCCCAGCCTATATAGTCCACAAAATAACCTAATATGGTCAAACCAACTCCACATGCTTCTAATATAATTGTTATATACTTACGTAGTTGCCGTTTTCAAATATTAGTCGTTCTGGGCCGCGTTCAGTAGTCTCTTCCAGTCAATACGATCTGTGGTCTACTGTCGCCAGTTGGTAGTGTCGAGTGCCTTTATACCATTAGTCACCGGTCGGTCTCTACCACATTCTTCACTTCAGGGTACCGAATCAAACACGTTTCTAGCCGGAGTATTTACTTCCATTTCCATGACATGATCAACCAAGCAAAGACGCTGAATTTTTATGCACTCCTAGAGCTGATAGTTCCTTCTAATTCGATACTTATTACCAACGTGTACGAGACTAAAGATCTTCCAAAGCATTATCTATTAGTTATTTTTGAAGCTACTACACTATATAGCAGGACAGTCATACCAAGAGACTTGAAGAGCGTCATTTTTGTGTGCCAAGAGAGTGATTTATTACTCAATTGCTTGCTTAGCCCAAAGATTGAGTTAGCCTATTGGGAAGATGCACGGTTGCCACTTGAAAAATTTTTTTCTGTACCAAAATTGGTTTAAAAAGGTACCATTCCTGTAAAAAAAGGTCCAAAATTTTTCTATTGTCTTTTTATAAGAAAATACAATTTATATAAAATGTACAAAAAGTATAAAACAATACAAGTTACATTTATAAAAAAAATTAATTGAAAATATCCACAATAAAGTTGGGTCGCCGAAAATGTACCATTTTTTGAACATGAGTACCAGAGTACCAAACGGAAAAAAAAGTACCAATTTTGGTACTAAAGTACCATAAGTGGCAACCGTGGGGAAGAGTGACTGGGAAGAGTGCATTTCTAGGCTGACGTCATTTCTTATGCAGTTATTAGGTAATATGAATACGACTACATATCTATTTTAGAAAAAGTAATATCTGAACGCACTGCAGTGTTTCCGTGCCTTCGTACATTTATAAAATAAAAAAATAAATAATAGGCCATTGACGTCTGAGTTTTGCTGATACTGAAAGAAAAGAAGATCGTCGTTTATAAACACTAAAATCGCATGAAAAACGTAAAACTCACATTATTGCTTCAAAATGTATCGAAAATTTAAGTTAGAGACTGTTAAGAGCACAAATTTATTGTTGAATATAACGGGGATTGGTGAGCAAAGCTCTAGGGGACAGTACCACCCCTAGTCTATTTATAGAAAATATGATAAAACTTACTTACTACATTTTGAATGCGATAGACTAGAGTAAAGCACTTCAAACAATGTGTTTTGTGTTAGAACTAACGCTAACCGCAAAAAAACCACTTAAGCAAGATATCTGTGGTTGTGGAACTTTACTATCTTTCTCCTAATCAAGAGCAAAGTCTGAGAGTTACAGAGAATGTATCTTGAAATCAATTCCCATTCCAGATGAAACCGGCAATCTTTCACTTTACAGAGAGTCTTTTCGCTCAAATGGTAAAACAAATCAAGATATATGGACATGTATTTTACCAGCAATCTCAGTTCAATTCTACTCCGGAGGGAAGTGTCTTTTTAGTCAAAGAGTCAAAGAATCAGAGAACAAATTTAATCCTTTCCTTTTCATAATAACTTAATAAAGCAACTAGCTTGTTAAGTCAAGCTTCTTTTAATATAATTTAAATTCAAACCAAATACAAATATTTTTTTTATTTGGACATTCCTGTAATATTTATTCGAGTTTTTTGAAAGGTACAAGTGACAAGTATAAAATATTAATATTAAATATAATAAAATTAAATAAAATAAATAAATAATTTATTTCTAAAAGTAAATTATACTAAAATTATTTTAAAAAAAGATTTACAAACTTTAAGATAACTTAAGTCCAACAAATCTAATATTAATAACTATATCTCCTTCGCCGATTTGTGTAATGTATAGCTAATACAGTTGCTATAACCAAAATTATAATCTGTAAAAAAAAACATTTTGATAAATATATTCTTCCAAAAAATTTCAGAAATTTTATAATATTTACATCAAACCCAATCAATCCCCATTCATTGTATTTCATTATAATCTCTTCATCGGAGAATGAGTTCTCCACTTTTGCTAAACAACCGGTAATATAAAGATTCAACGGATTTATACAATTATGATCTACACAGCAGCTAGCAGGAGGTAAACGTTGTATAGTAATATAATCCTCTGGAGAATTACGACCACAACAGGAATACTGAAATTAACGGAAATAATTTTTTATTCTTAAATTAATTAAAAGATAACATATATTAATTTTTCGTTTTTATATGGGGTTATGAGAATGTTAGCATTATTATAAGTACCTGTTTTGATAAACCCTTACAAAAATGGTCAAACTTACTGTGGTTTGAATGGTATCCATAGCTCCTGATTTTTTCAATTCCTTTTTCCAGTGATATTCCACACCTTCTAATGCATATTTCTTAAATACATCCGGTTTACTTATTAGCATAAAAACAACGACCAGAATCAGTAGTATCAGTAAAAAGACTATATACTAAAGGAAATGTATATTATTAAATGAATATACTATATATTTATATATGTATGGATATATTAAGGTGATATTCTAACTTACTGTCCATAGAATACGTGGAGACTCACGCAGTGTTCCAAAACAACCGAAAAATGATATTAAAACTAGCACGAGCCCTAAAGCAATGATGCCAATAGCATATATTTGTGGCATAGCGCCCCAACCGAGCGCTCCAAATAATATGACATATATGCCAAGAATCTGAAAAATGAAAGAATGTTAATTATTTTTTCAATAAATTACTTTATAAATAAAGAAAACTTGATTAATCACGAAATTATCTAATGTATCACTAAATTATCTAATATATTGTGTACAGTATTAATTACTTCCGCGTCTACAGAAACTATTGTATTAAGTATGATCACTTCGATCACTTACTAATTTAAAAAATGATTCAATACGTATCATTAATAATTCATTAAAATGCATAAACTTATTATTAAATACTTTTTAAGACAATGACTGCTATTTATTTGTGGGAGGAAACCAGAGTTTAGTGGTCTTTCATTTGGTAAGCCTAGTTGCATCATAAATTATCTATAAGCATACAGTATAATTCGATTATAAATTAAACGTATTTATATGGAAATGTAATAAACTCATCTCAGTAAGACATTATATCATTTATATTTATACAAATTTATTATACATATAGAAAAATAAATAGTTTACAGATATCACTTACACAAAACCTACTCATGAAAACTGAGTCATCGAACAGATCTTAGCAGTGTTCAAACCACAGACTAAATGAGTTAGAATCATTTTAAAAAGAACGTAATAATCAAAAAAAGAATGTCAAAGAACTGCTTAAAGGGCAAATAATTAATTGATAAAGAAATGTGATTCTACCTTTCTTGTTGTTTCTTGTTTAAGAAAGAAACACTTACTTCACAACAAACGTGCCATTCAAAATCTATAGAGATTTGAGAGAAAACTAGAAGCCGGTTAAGTAGTACCAATGAAAGAAATAGTTCTCTAAATCCAAATACTAAATCAGAATAATAAGTCAAACTCATAAAATCTCCAATGAAATATTTGAATCTTCTAATAATATCTATTGGTTTCGTTTTGACAGATCATTCATTGGTCGCTAAGTATACAGACCAAAAAATTGACATAGAATTATTATAACCAAAATTTTAAAACCATCAACAAAGAAGAAGAAGAAGAGACAATAAAAAAATATTTTACAATGTTCAGGCTTAGTCAAATATTTCATTGGGGAACGGACATTCCATATATAGGTCTTAAAGAACTACTCTACGCAATTAACAGCGAAAGTAAACTTTAAACATGTTTTCATAATTTTTATCTCTGAAAGTAGCTACTCAGATATTACAGTGCGTGTCAACTAGACTATGACAACCAGGATTTGGATTCAACTTTATTCTGGTTTAAAAACACGCATTATAAACATTTGAAAAAACTATATTTCAGGAATAGATCCAC